ACGCGCCTCGAGCCCTTACGATCAATCAAACTCACTTTCTGCTCATTAACGCTACCTGATTTTGTGAGCAGAATACTTCTACCTTTCATTTCATTCGGCTCCATCTCATGTGTCTGTTTGAAGCCACTTTTTTTGGATCCATCTCCATTTACGAGGGCTGTTGTAGTTCTTATGGGATTATCATTGTACTCCTGTTGGCGGTTGCTTTGAGAGCGTGTGGAAATCAAGTTTATCTTGTCGGCTTCCATAGGGTTTGGTTGAAGATCCGGCGAATTGAAATCACTGGAGCTTGAGCTGGCGTAACTTGCACAAGATTGCACATGGATGAATGTCTGTTTGTCCTCAGTTTCAGTTTCTCGATGATAGAAATAGTTGAAATTGGACACAATCACAGGTACCGGTAGAGCAATTGTCAATACTCCAGCGATAGCGCACAGTGAGCCGACCAATTTACCCCACACCGTCACAGGTCGCATGTCTCCGTAGCCAACGGTTGTCATAGTGACTACAGCCCACCAGAATGCGTCTGGTATACTCTTGAAATAAGTTCGTTCAGAATCGATTTCGGCGAAGTAGACTGCTGAAGAGAACAAAATTACACAAATGAGTAAAAAGAACACCAATAGACCTAGTTCTCGTGTACTGGCTTTCAACGTCTGACCGAGGATTTGTAACCCTTTGGAATGTCTTGAAAGCTTGAATATTCGAAATACCCTGACCAGTCGAATTACTCGAAGGATCGCCAACGACATAGCTTGATTCTGACTCCGGCTCTCCTCGTGCACCATCGTACCGAGAGTGATAAAATAGGGTATGATGGCCACAATATCGATAAAGTTCATAATGTTTCGAAAGAAAGCGATTTTCTCCGGGGATGATGCGAATCGTACTAGTAGGTCGAAAGTGAACCAGATGATACACACAGTTTCAACTACAAAAAATGGTTCTTCAATGGCCGGGATATCGTGATCCCTTATAACCAAACAGTGTTGCGGATCCTTGACTGGGTTGCATGCTTCATGGTCACTGACCTCCCTGTGACCGTTGCGGTAACCGGCGGAAGATCGATTCGAATTGGGCACAAGATCTTCCAGTGGGATTTCCTGGGATTCATCCACCGTGATTAGTTGATAGTGTTTGAAATACGGAAGGGTTTCGATACAGAAGATAACAATAGAAAGAATTATGACTACCACGGAAAAGATTGCTATCGCACGCGCAGCCATGGAACTTTCGGGGTACTCGAAAAGTAACCAAATTTTACGTTGCATCTTATTCTCCGGTAGAACTTTGACATCTTCTCGGATGAAGCCTTCGTCGTCTCGGTATTTCTCAATCGCGTCTTCATCAATTTCATAGAAGTGGATTTCCTCTGTGAAGACATCAATTGGCACGTTCACTGGTCGACGTAGACGCCCACCGCTTTGATAGTAGTATAGAATGGCATCGAAGCTGGGTCGGTTTCGGTCAAAAAAATATTCATCGCGTAGTGCATCATAATATCGATCCAGTTTGATGGGATTTCCCAAAAGAGTATTTGGGAACTTCCGCAGCGTACTCAGTTGGGTTTCAAATCGTAATCCAGATATGTTCAGGACCACTCGTTCGTTGCCCTTTTCAACCATTTGTTTCTTCTCGTATCGTTGTAATGTTTGTCCTGCCGGGAAGAGTGTTGATGGACGGGCAGCAAGCGCCCTAGCAATGTTTTTGGATGTTTCTTCAGAGAGTTCTACATTCTCTTTGGAGTCAGTGAGCAAGTGCTCGTCTGGAAATGCCGCCGTGTCCGACAGCAAAGTTGCACATGTAGTTCGTCCTATATTTTGAGCAACAGAGGCGATTAGATCCAAGTATCCTGGATCTTGTGGCTTTTTGAGACCTTCTGCCCCGTCCATGTTTGCCCATGCCCTTGTATTCGATGCAGCTGCCGAATCTGTTTGGCCGGTTGTACCGGGTGAATGACCGTGTGGTGCCGGTCCAGCTGTCGTACTGAGACCGGTACTTCCGCCTCCAGATCCGACCATCCCACTGTATGGACGTGGTCCATATGACCTGGAATAAAACGAAGGAGTACGCGTGAGTGGAACTTAGCGAATGTATTGGCTTCAGAAGAGGCAGACTCATCCGACCCTTTGATTATGTTCTAGATTTTAATAATAAATTTATCAGCACAAACCAGGGTGTGAACTATGCTTGCTGTAATTTCAAAGCGTTGATTGGATACAAACAGACACGTTATCCCATTTTGCCCAAACAAAGTATATATCAGGTTTTTCAAGCGACCGAGGAATTTTGCCCCTTCCGCTCTCGAATGGGAAATTTTAAACGCTCACGTATTATACATTATCGTCACCGTGATTTTATCCCGAGATAATTTTTCTCCCGGCATATCAGTATTCATTCTATTCAAGCCCTCCGTTCGACGTAAAACATGCCGTCTGTACACAAAGTGGGGTTGGCAACAAAGCCGAACGAACAAGCATGACGCATAGTTGAAGTTGGTGCCATGCGATCAAACCTTGACAACAAAAGGCAGTGCCTTGAGACTTTCTCTGCACAGGATTTTGATTTATGAACCTTGATGGACGAATATCGTTGACAGTTAGATGCTTAGGATTTCGATTTTATGAATCACGAAACTTTCGGAACAGTCTGCTAAGTTTGGAGGCTTGGCAACGGAAATTCAGGTTTGCGGAACTTTTTGAGGGACAGCTGTGCTAATGTTCCAGGGAAGTAGTGTTCGATGCGTTCCGCCATCCGTCCTGAAGCACACCGATTAGCTGTGCTGATTCGCTTTCGCAAATGACCAATCACAGATAAGCTACAACGGTGAACCGATTGATTTGATTGTCTGAAATAGGTGCTGCTCTAGGGCTGACGTCAGCTTTCAACCGATTGCTAACCGGTCGCTTATGAGAGGCATGATCAGATAAACATATTTTCCCTTCGCCTGTTGCGCTCATCGAGGTTCCTAATTCTTATTCTGTGTACAGCAGGTTTCTGGGCGATGTCTGACCACGTGACAGCAACGGTGACATAAACGGGAGACCCTGCGCGAGTGGAACTTTTCTCTGACGCCGTCTTGTTTTAAATCCGGCGACTAACTAGCTCAAAATACATCTTGACAGCAGTCTGAAGTCGAAGACGAATATGACGACAGTACGGCTGAGCGAGATATCGCTGGAATCCGACAGTAGAATGCCACGGTCTTCAGAAGCGTACAGGGAGAGGGTAAATAACTGGATAATATCCTCATTTCGAAAAATTTGCGCTTGCATAAAGGAGACAAACGTCTGTTAACAATTTTTTACAGACTTCGTTAGTACGAAGCAAATGATACGGTAAAGCATGAGACGTACCTAGGGGGAAAATATACTACTCGTTTAGATTTACCCATAAGCATCCTAAACCAAATTAAACTACCCCACAGAAAAACTTTCGCTTTAATGTGTGTGGGCGTTGTGGTTCCATCAAAGAAGAAGCTCGCCATGCATACCGATAAAGCGCACAGTCGACATTAAAAAAAAGCTTGAGTCCAGCTTGAACTGACTACACCCCGTGTTTGAATCATCAGAATCATCAGTTTCCATTTAATCTGAAGAGCATCCGCAAGAACTCCTAAACTAGATTCACCATTTTGGGGCGCAGCATAACTAGACAGAAATTCGCCGCAAAAAATTTTGTGGTATTTGCGGGCAAAGCAGTCCACCAGTTCGACCCAAGTTTGAATAAACTAAGGGTAAGCGAATAAGTATCATGGGAAACAGCTGGTGGAAAATTATATGATTTCACCAATTTTTAACGGAACTCCGATTCCTAAAGTAATAATCTATTGAAAATTATCCTGTAATGGGATTACTTTAAACGGAAAAGACAAGCTACGAAGTTTGGCGCGTACTCGTGCAATAACCTAGGCTGAAACGATCGAATAAACCAAACGATGGAATACGTCACCATGTTTCAAGTTTCACAGTCTAAGAGCAAAAGTTATCGGGTTTGACAATGTCTTAAAAATACTTTATCGACTCACTGAAATAAAGTAGACAAGTATGTGGGTTTCAACCCGTGGAGAGATGTGGAACCCACCTCTAGGTTTACCTCAGCGGTGTACGGCCTGTGCGACTGTGCCCATGCTTCACGCTCATCAATGTGCCATGAACGGTTATTCTCATCCTATGAATTCTGGGCATCATTCAGACTATTTCTGGTCAGTCAAACTAGTCTGATGATAGGCGGGCAGGCCATTGCTCCGCAGCAAAGCGATCACCATTTTTTAGAGGACTGGAAACAACACAAACAGATGCTCAGTTTCACATCACTCTCGTTTTGAACTAGACTAGTCCCTGTCCTGGCGCAATTATTCATGTGAATCCACACCAAGGGGGGGGGGAAGCACTGGACTCGAGTTTCGCTCTTGTTAGAGCTCATCAGCAGTGCATATCCAATGGCCGTGCCGGGGTTTGAACTCCGGACACCTGACATGCGAGGCGAACGTGTTACCACTATTCAACCAGCGCACGTTGGACGCATCTGAATTCTCACGTCTGAACGGGTGAACGTGTTCTCACTTGAGCGATGTGATTAGCATGCCCGACACATCATCGATACGACGACCCAGTAACTGTCCTGGTTGTGACGATCGATTGGCCCGCTTGTCAGGACTTCCCAGTCAGGTAGCGCCACAGACGCTTGTAACCCGCTGGACAACTTTGTTGATGCATATGGTCATGCACAAACAGATGCCTCGTCATTTCGTACCATATTAGGACATCTCAGTCAGCACAACGTCGAGGATCTTCTAAAATTATCAAAGATTCATCATTTTAGGAAGAATCAATTGATTATTCCGTTTATTCAGCATTGTAAAACCAGTTAACGAGCCTCCCTTTTCTTGGTACTGCCACGCCAGTGTTAGTAGTTCTACCACCATTATCAATTAAATTATAAATACCACTCAACTTCCATCTCTCGGAGGACACAAAAGCTTCATTAATTCAAGCGGGCAGGTCACCAAACCGGCCAGGTTATAAGACAGACGAGGAACCAATCAGTAACTCGTCTTCAGATTATCACATTAGATCGGTGTTGAGTGTCAATTAACGCCTCTTGTCGGTTAGTGTGGTCGTCAAAATCTAGCGTTGGTGCATGGGTTGGGGAGGGGGGGGTTCAAATTAATTCTGACCGGTTTTGTTGCTTAATCTTCCAATTTAGGGTGCTTGAATTGTTGGTTCACCTTGGGTGCTACTGGTAGATTTTCCCTGGTCTTTGTTGGGTTGTGAGTGCTCCGACAATGTAGTTTGAGGGGATTTAAGGTCATGTAGAATTCAGATGACGACTACTCTTCCTTCTGATCACCGCACACCGTGTCAGCTCGACTGATCGAGAACCGTTCTCCACCCGCTACTGATCGAGAACCGTTCTCCACACGCTTGCCAGTTCCAAGCTTTCTATTCTGTGAAAAATGGGATGCTTGGCGATTTCTACCGCCTCGGCTATCAGTCTCTGTGACGTGTACTGTAAGCCTCATCTCAGAACCTCAACATTTACCAAATCTATTTTGTGCCCCGTGTCCAGTGCGTGTTGCGAGTCTTTCAGTAATGCTTGATGTTCAATCGCGTTTCTCGGCGGCCTGTTTATTTTTCTACTATGCTATCCGATTCTGGTGCAAAGAAGTTTCACGGACGTCTCTTCTATACAGACCTTAGTGCAGTCGTTGCACTTTTGAAGGCAGTCCCTGTTCCTGTTTGCCGGGAGGAGATCCTGCAGTGGCACCCGCGGTAAATCATCAATTAAAGCACCCTGAAGTGGAAGATTAGGCAACAAAACCCGGTCAGAACTAATTAGAAACTCTCCAACCTATTGCTGCAAGATTTCGGCAATCAAACTAACCGATAAGAGCCGTTAATTGACACTCAACACTGATCTAGTGTGATAATTTGAAGGGGACTTTCTGATTGGTTCCACGTCTGTCCTATAGCCTGGCCAATTTAGCGACCTGCCCGTTTGGCTTGATGAAGCCTTTGTGTCAAAAAGGAAACTTTGCCCAAATAAAAACTACTGATTGTTTATCAGGCCCTTCTGAAAGAAAAAAACTTTATTCACTACGATCTATTTTCTTGCAGCAAATCCTGTTTCATTTGGCCGTTGAGAACTTTTGCTTACATTTCTAACTACTATTTTCGATTAAAGTAGTATCCTGAGATCCGACAAATGGGTTCACAAAGTCTGACCGAATGAGCTCAGAGTGCTGTGCAAGTGAATTCCAAGGATTTGTGCGCATAGGTAAAGTAAGTTACCAAGTTAAGCACTGGCCAAAGGACACTAGAATATATGATATACGAACCAGATAGTGAGCTATTTCCCGTGCCACTGTGATGAAGGCATTATTTCACGTACTCCTCGTGCGGTGTGATGGAATGAGGAACCCAAACAAACAAGGTTGCCTATGTTCCGTCTTCTTGGGTAACCAGAGATGCATCGTAAGTTACTAGTAAATATTAGGTTCTCAAGATAAATGTTTTATAATGTCACTTTTGCATTCAATACCTACAATGAAAGAATGTTGTGTGACAAGTGTCATTTTTGGACACCGGATTTTTCGAATCTTCTTATGTACACCTGTCAATTCTAATTAAAATGATCGGTTCATTCCCGGTGTACGTTTTTTATTAGTTTTGAAAGGTTCAGTGATGTTACGTGGTTCAGGCCACAACGTGTTTCTAGGGATAGGATTAAAAAGCGGTCATTACTCGAAAACCCAACTGCTTTTTTGTGGTTCGGAGAGAGAAGGGCTTCTCATTGTGATTCTACTTGTAGATGGGTTATTTTATTAACAAAATGGAGCACTAACTCGGATGTCAGTTGTAGCTGAGTTCAGTTTCTATGCAACAGCAGCACAGTGATATATAATCTTCCGTGGAATTTCCTTGAAATTAAATTATCAACGCAATGCGGTGGATATTTTGATCGTACAAGTCAATCTGGTCAGGATAGGCAGACGAATACAAACTAGCTCGTTCCACAC